ATGTTAATCTGATGACTTGTGAATATGAAGAATAATTTTCAAAAAAACTTTTAAAAAGAAAAAGAAGAACTATTGCAAAGAAAAACTTTTGTACAAAAACGTTTTGATTGCTTTTGGTAGATTGAAAATTGTATTCTTGCCATTTGAATTACATATTAAAACCATACACGCACTGCGCTTGTCTTGCTCACAACGAGGTTATAGTGCTCACAACGAGGATTAAAGCAAAATAGAGTATATCTTCGTTTCTACGAAGACTTTCAGATAATAATTTACGCTGATGACTTGTGGGCATCTGTTTTAGGTAAGAATGCACAAAACGTCACCATAATCGACGTTTTCAATGTTTAATTAGGTCCAAAGAGAAGTTGTCTCCAGTTTTCCAGCTACCCCGAGTGACTGCGTCGCACGGTATTTCTATCAAATTGTCCACCAACAGACAATATCTTTACATGTGCATACTCGGAAAACACATAGCTAGCTAACTGCATTCCGATATTTTTACATAAATGTCTGTAATCTTCAAAAATTATGAAAAAGTCACCTTGTTTATCGTGTCACACGTCAAAGATGGATGCTCACAACGAGGAACGGAAGTTGCTCACAACATTTTAACCGATGGACATTTTTCACTCGTTGTGAGTTAAACGGGCGTGGACTTGCCAATCCAAAGAACACATATCAATGTATCACTGATTCTGTTTGAATGTCCCTAACTGGCAGGTAACAAAAAAATATCGGTTCGTGAAATTTTACTTTTTTTTGTGACATTCGGCCGTACCTCAGTGGAGTACCTTTAAACATAACGGTATCTAAAGAATTGTCATAATGAAATTGAGATTTTGATAATACACGACACAGTGACGTTATGCTTAAATGTCGACAAAATACCAGTCTTTATCTAACGGTCTTACTTGTACCAGCAAAAAATGGTCTTTACCTTGGCAAATAGTTAACACAACAACATGCCAACAGATGTGGTTCTGCAGAATTGTGCCTATAACTCACAGAAATAAATCGGAATTTGCGACATTTGAGCTAAAATGACTACATTACCAGAAAAAAACAGCAGACACACATCGGATCCTTTAATACCAAAGACCACCTTCTTATATCATCAGGCTCGTCTTCAACTTCGTAATTCACGATTTAAAATTTGCGAATTCACAATTTCAACTAAATGACGATTTAAACTTCATGAATTCACGATTTCAACTTCAAGGATTCAACTTTACGACTTCAACTCCGTGAATTCACAATTTCAACTTCCTTGAAAGTGAAATCTTGAACTCGTGCAGTTGAAATCATGAATTTGTGCAGTTGAAATAGCGAATTCGTGAATTCGTAAGTCAAAATCTTTAATTCATGAAGTTAAATTTTGATTTTATAAAGTTGAAATCGTGAATTCATGAAGTTGAAATCGTGAAGTTTAAATGTTAAAATTTTGATTTTATGGAATTTAAATTGTGAATATTTGAAGTTGAAAGAGTGAATTCGTGAAGTTGAAACAGTGAATTTGTGAAGTTGAAACAGTGAATTCGTGAAGTTGAAATCGTGAAACTGAAATCGTTAATTCGTGATGTTGATATGTTGCAAACGTTAATTCACGAAGTAAAATATTGTATTCACGAGTTTAAGATGAAATTAGGTTTTCGTGAAGTTGAAACGAGTCTTTTATACCTACACATGCAACTTTATGGGTTTCTGTGGAACTCGGCCTTAGGATCACAGAAGCAAGTTGAAAATGGCGAGATTTCACAGATATAACAAGCTTATTGTCCGCAGAAACCAGAGGATTCCTAAATGGACTCAAAGGGAATTGACGAGATATGAGCTGAAATGACCATTTTCCGATCGATTTTTTGGCTGAACGCCCGCAAAATACCAGAGTATTTCCGACGGACACAACTATATTTCCTACGCGGACACACAAGCAGAACGCTTAACCATCTCGCCATATAGAAGAATTGAGTCTAGGTCTCACAGGGGGCAGCCGGTGATGGCGAGATATAAGCTTAAAATACCATTTTCCGACGGACACACGTATACCATCACCACTTACAATGCCAAAATATTGGATTCCGCGAAAAAGGGCGTGTGTGTGCACAGGTGCTAGTCAGAAATTGCGGGATTTGAGCTAAAAGAAGTATTTACAGTTCAATTTCTTGTTCAAAGTTGGAAAAATACCAGAGAAATACCGACGGCCACATCTATACTAGCGGACACAGGATCAGATCCCCAAACCGTCCCACTATATTAGGTACTGCAGAATTGAGGCTTGGGCTCACAGGGGCTAGCTGTAACAGTGTATAAGCTTAAATGATCGTTTATAATACGTTTTTCAGTTTAATTCGGCAAAATAACACACCTATACTAGCGGATACATAGGTAGATCGATTTACCATCCGACCATATTGACTTCTTTGGAATCAAGGCGTGGGCTCACAGGGCTAACCGGATGAGGCGATATATGAGGTTAAATGGTCATTTATAGACAACTTTCGGCTACATGTCGACAAAATACTGGTAGATCCTTAGAGTGTTGAATTATATTTTTCAGGATTGTAGCAGGGGTCCAGGGGCAGGGTGGGGTGCGGTGTCCAAACACTGACAATGCCACCTGTGAGGCAATCAAGTTGAAAATCGAATTAAGGGCTAAAAGGAAAGGGACGACTAAACACTGAGATTATGGTTCATGTAATACCCTGACACGCCAGAAATAGAACTCTTTTCATACGATTTCCGGAAAAAAAAGACGTCGGAGAAATGCACTAGCTTGGCCAAAAACAACAACAAAAAATAAAGAAAACAATATATTGTTAGTTATCTAAGATATAACTACACCATCATTTGCCGATGACTTTATGGGCCTAGTATATTTATGGTAATTTCGTTTTTGAACGGAGGTCAAAATACTACTATCACATTTTGCTACTTTTATGACAAATCATTTTATATGTGGCGCGATAGCTCAATTGGTTAAGGTGGCGCGATAGCTCAGTTGGTTAAAACACTGGTTGTCACTTCTGAGGTCCCGGGTTCGACCTTGGGATTTTTCAGGGACACTTTCAGTGTTTCCCATCTAGCTAGAGGTGTACTGGTAAGAAATCCAGGTAATCTTGCATGTATCATCAGTGCTATACACTAGGCATGTATAAGAATCAAGGGGTCTTTTCAATAAGAGCTAGGGACTGGTTCCCGGATTCCCACGTATCTCATAGCTGTCTCTGAAGTGACTAAACTAGAGTCATGTCTACCAAATCGGCCTAAGAAGCTCAGCTTTGCATTCTTGATGATGTTCCGGCCTGAATACAATATTGCATTATTATGCCCCACTTCAAAGAAGAGTGGGTATATTGCTTTGCATTTGTCTGTCTGTCGGTCCGTCGGTCCGTAGACCAAATGGTTTCCGAGTGATAACTAAAGAACCCTTAGGCCTAAATACTTCAAAATAGGTATGGTGATTGATCATGACCAGTAGATGGCCCCTATTGATTTTGGGGTAAAGAGGTAAACGGTCAAGGTCACATTGACCTTGTAAGTAAAAACTGTTTCCGGTCAATAACTGAAGAACCCTTAGACCTAGGAACGTAAAGCTATGTATGGTGATTGGTCATGACAAGTTGATGACCCCTATTGATTTTGGGGTCAATGGGTAAAAGGTCAAGGTCACATTGACCTTGTAAGTAAAAACGGTTTCCAATCAATGATTAAAGAACGCTTAGGCCTTGGAACTTCAAACTTGGTATGGCGATTTGTCATTACCAGTAGATGACCCCTATTGATTGTAAGGTCAAGCGGTCAAAAGTCAAGGTCACATTGACCTTGTACGTAAAAACGGTTTCCGACCAATATCTAAAGAACGCTTAGGCCTTGGAACTTCAAACTTGGTATGGTGATTGGTCATGACCAGTAGATGACACCTATTGATTTTGGGGTCAAGGGGTCAAAGGTCAAGGTCACATTGACCTTGTAGGTAAAAACGGTTTCCGATCAATAACTAAAGAACGCTTAGGCCTAGAAACTTCAAACTTGGTATGGTGATTTGTCATGACCAGTAGATAACACCTATTGATTTAAGGGTCAAAGGTCAAGGTCACATTGACCTTGTAGGTAAAAACGGTTTCCGATCAATAACTTCAATGATGTCAACGTCTATACTCTGTTTTGACGTCACTTAGAGTGGCGTCCCTTGTAATTATTAACGTTGAAGTCATTGACGTCGTTTCCATATCAAAATTTTCATTTTCATTATCCTCCTGATGATATGTTGAAACCGGTAGAGGTATAATTAAATTACATAAATTAAGCAAAGGTCTATTATTTTAACTTTTCCTGTTTTATTTTATTTCCCGTAGTGTGGGACATTTGTCCGCACATTAATTTATGTTATTTATATATGTTATTTTGGTTTTGGAGTGCCAACATTTTATACCAGGCGAGGGTGATTTTTTATCTTGGCAGGTAATATATCCACATATATCACTACAAAACCAAAATCGAAACGTCGAAATATGATTCCCTTTAGGGCACGCCTTCACCACAACCTGACGTCACATAAATACAGGAAGTATTTGCTTCCATACCTAGCGAATGTAAACAGCAGAAAAGGAGTAGTCTGTTGAAGACACTTATTTGTAATTAATATCAAGCTTTGACAAGGTCATATTTGTTTCAATAACGATGAGAAAATTTATCATTACTCAATTTTGTTAAGTATTTTTTGTTCGACAGTTAAAATTTGCTCGTTTATCGGAATTCACACGGCGAAAAATTGAACCATACGCGCATCGCCACAGCGCATGTTGCTTACAACGTTGGGTACCCAGCAGGGGAATTTAGTGTGTATATTACCCGTCTGGCTTGGTAATATCAATTTCTTTTGGCAAATCAATATCAAATCAAATAAGGGGAATCTGGAAAGGTTATAAAGCAATATATTTTTAAATCAGTCTTACAAAGTAACTTACCTTATATGTATTTTCTTTTTATTCAAGCCAGCCGTATTGCTCGTCCTTGCTTGACATCTATGGACAAGTAGATGATATCACTGACTCTTAAGAAATTAACAAACAGTACTATGGGTTAATTATGTAACGACAGCTTTCAAAGGTTTGTGTTTCTGCAACAGTGCTCGAGTGTGCCGGAATTCAATATTTATCGTTAGAAAAACAACTACTTTTCATATGTTTGATATAAAATTGAAGGATAACAACGGAAAAAAACTTTTTGAGGCAAATGAAAGTAAGTGATTGATATAAATCACAATAGCAATATTCCTTGCTGAAGATTTAGAAAATGTAACAAATGTGTATTTGACAGCAAAGGGTTACTCGTGTTTTAAAGCTATCAGTTTGTATATCAAGGGACAGAAACGGATATCAATGAAGGCAACTGATTGGAAAGTCGTAACATTTTACTTATTGATATCATTAGTCCACTTTTTCAAAACTGAATGCTAAAGTAAACACAATCTGGTAAAGATACATAAGCGAAGGTATACATAATGGCAAAAAACAAGACAATTAATGAACAGGAACATCCGGCGTCGGAAACAAGTGGTTATATAAGCGTTGGAGGTCAGTCACACTCAGCCAGCGTCTCACAAAAAGCGGAAGATTATCAATCAGTATCTTCGAAAGATGTGTCTTCGGTTATGAGAAGATGGGGTATAGAGACACCTATAACCGATCCCTTGTGTGACTCACAATGTGTATCAGCTTCAATAACTGACATGTGTTCAATCTGTGCAGCAAAGGGAATAGGTAAAATAGCAACACATATATGTCGTGACTGCAGCCAATATGGTAGATACTATTGCCAACGTTGCTGGGATTATCACAATAAGTTCTTACCCTCGCATGATACATTGTCACTTTCCGTTAGCAGTGATAGGTATGTTGAAATAAATACATTTTTTAAACAAACATGATATATCGAACGAGTCGATATCGGGTCTACATACCGAAATAAATCCAAGGAAAATCCTTTTTCATTCAAAAGATCATAATTTAAACCTGTCTCATTATTATATTTTGATAACATTAAATTGTGTTGCTTTGGGTTTAAATTAATTTACAATGTCATATTGATGACGAACAATGGAATTTTTCACAAAGTCATTTTTATGTTCGGATTAAACCTTTTTCTCAATCACAAATAAATACTCAGATGGGCTAATAAGAGCTTTTGGTCCTCTTGTTATCCCCCGCCGATAGATCGGGGGATATTGTTTTGACGTTGTCCGTCCGTCTTTCCGTCCGTCTGTCCGAGCAAACATTTGATATTTATGAGCTTCATTCCGTAGTAAAATAAAGAACAAAAACTCATAAAATTCAAATTAAGAGCTATTTTTTTTTGTTTTATGAGCTAATTTTGCTTATGGACGTTGGTCCAGGTGGTGTTTATGAGCTGATTTGCCTCATAAATGTCAAAAGTGGGTATGTCCGTCCTTCCGTCCGTCCGTCCGAATTTCGTTTCCGGACTTGTTCTCTGCAACTACTGGCTGGAATTCAACGAAACTTTATGGGAATCTTCAATACCAAGAGGAGATGCGCATATCGTCGGCTTGTTCCGGTCCGACACTTTAACTCAGATTTATGGCCCTTGATTAGTTATGCAGTATGCATATACAGTAAAAATCGTTTCCGCGCTACTTCTCTGCAAATACTGGCTCGAATTCAACGAAACTTTATGGGAACCTTCAATATTGAGAGGAGATGCGCATATTGTCGCCTTGTTCCGTTCAGACACTTTAACTCAGATTTATGGCCCTTGATTAGCTATGCAGTATGCATACAGAGTAAAAATCGTTTCTGCGCTACTTCTCTGCAACTACTGGCTGGAAGTCAACGAAACTTTATGGGAACCTTCAATACCAAGAGGAGATGCGCATATCGTCGCCTTGTTCCGGTCAGACACTTTAACTCAGAGTTATGGCCCTTGATTAGCTATGCAGTATGCATATAGAGTAAAAATCGTAAAAAACTTTATTGGAACCTTCAATATCAAGAGGAGATGAGCATATCATGAAATTATGAAGAATAAGAAGAAATCGTCTTGACATAGGATTTTCAGAGAAAGGAAAAAAATATTGTGGAATTATAGTACTTATAAAGTATGAATAAAAACGAGTTTATCACGCTCAGAATTTTTCAATTTAAAAGTCTAAATAGTTTGAATACCATGCATATAATTTTGTTCTTTAGTTTGTAAATCTTAATCTTATTGTATAATTCATTTTGTAGGAAATAATGTCAAAAGATGTTTTCTGTTGAACAAAGCGTTAAAAGTGTTAACATCAAATAGTGACCTTTATATAGCACTAACCTTATATCTGAACAAATATTGATTATTTTCAGTAACCAATGTGGGTCAGTCAAATCAATTAAGGCAGCCTCAAATGGGTAACTATACTTGAAACATATTATGTTGATCGTTCTAAAGGGAACAAAATGTCATATATTATGTCTGACATTCCATTTGAGTGAAAATACCATAACAATGTCAATTGCAAAATATGGTCTATGTTAGTCTTTATGAAATAACAGCAAATAGAAGAAAAATTTTGTCACATGGTATTACAATTTATAAAATTAAAAAAAACAGACATATTATCGTATGTCAGGCATGTAAAAATATTTCCCAATTGACACATACCGTCAATAAAATCTTAACAGTTTAAATCAAACTTTTATTTAATACCACGAGTTTATCTGAAACTTGTAATTATTTTGGTTTGGTATATTTTGAGTGTGATCCGATATGTAATGCAATTACGCTTTCAACGTTGCACCAGACGACACTCGTATACAATACGGAAATATTTCTGTCGAGTTACTGTTACAATAATTTATTGTTAACAAGAAGTGTTTCTGTTATAATTTTGTAGATATTTTATAAGGAGAAACGTGTAACGGTTATCTTACATTGAAAACATTGTACGATTTTAAAAAAAGTTTTGTTTTATGAAGTATTGGTATATAAAATGATCTTATTGACAATTCTTTATTCTCGAGAAAAATTCCGTAAGCTTTAATATGTTTTTCAGGTAATGACCTAACATTTGATAATAGTTACATATATGTTGATGATTATGTTTTATTTTATTTTTAAGAGACGATCAAATAAAAATGTGGCTGAATGAGCTGAAACAGCAAATTGAGAAAGATGAATACAATGACAAGGCATTTGATAAGAAACCTAATGGAAATTCAGAGTCAGCAAATCTTTCTGTCATTTTAAAGGAAATTTGCAGCATCATTCAAAGAAGAAGTACATGCCAAAGGTACAGCTCAATGTTATTAATAATTTCTCAGAAATATCGTGATAAAATTTGAAATGGCTTGCACTGGTTTATTTGAGACAAAACTCAATGTTGCCTTATATACTTTTATTATGTTATATCATGTTTGCTTCTGACTCGTGAATTGCTATCACATATATAATATTATGCACCACTACAATATGATTGTCTCTTGTTGGACAGCGTGGAAGTATAAAGTGAATGTTGAAATGTTGACTCCATTTCTTACAATCTACATTGAGTTAACCCAAGTTGTCCTTCGGGTTGTTCTTAGAGGTAGTGCTAATTGTAAAATATGAGCATGTAAAAATATTTTTTGATATTGAAATTAAATTCACACCTTATGAAATATAAGCAATGAACTTGCAACATGTGATCTCCAAATTTATTATTATCATTACTGGATTTAAACAAACTAACCTCGTTTTCTTTCTGTTTTCGACTCCAAAAAGTCAGTATCAAATCACTATGTACTTCATTTTGTCTCATTGTTATTTATAAAATCGATAATTTCATACACAATCCTTATTCACGAAGCAAATTTTTGCCAAAATGTCAAAAAATGATGGTGTGAAGAAAAGATCTCATTTTACATATATTCTTGAATATAATATTAATCCGTTAGACTCGTATCGATCTTCAAAACTCGTCCACGTTCAATAGAATTCAGTATTGTACTCAGCGATATATAATTATAACCTCATGATATTACTGTATAAAGCAACAACATACGACAAGTTCATATATTATCTCTTCTTCATATCGTTTGTAATAACGTTTCAGTTTTATTTAAATTTGAAAAGTAATTTTCTCTGATATTCTATGTCATAGTGTGATATTTATAAAGCTTGAAATAAATATATATTTAGGAAAAAGATATCAATTCTGAGTGCATTGTTGTAGAAAAATGCACGGTTTGAGTTCAAATGCGTAGTAATATAATCACGAAGGCCGACAGGCCTGAGTGATTAATTACAAAGCATTTGAACGAAAAACGTGCATTATGCACGAAGAATTAATATCTATTTCCATTCTAACACGTCAAGAAAAAATATAATTATTATTATAAAGTTAGACTTAATGTTTGGTGGTTAAATTTGTTTTCGCCTCAGAGTTTCCAATAGAAACGTTCTTTAAAGGCTGTTCCAGTGGGTTGAAAAAAACTGTCGTTAAATCTTCCGTGTGTAGAAACATTTTGAGAATAACGAATTTTGAAAACGTTGATAAAACTTTGTTTGTTTATTTTATTTCACTCTATAATTTTTAAAGCGAAATACAAATTATCAAAAGTGAAATAATTGTAAAACTTAACTTGTTTGCGACATTAAAATAGCGTACTTGATTTGATTGCTTTGCACGTGCTGTTTGGCGCTACATTGTGACGTCACGTAAACAACACTTTAAACGTCTTTACAGCGTTAACGACTGAATTAAAGATATTGGTGTTCGGATTCATTTCCTTAGTTAGACCATTTTCTTTCATTCTAGATAGTTTTCACAACAGAATTCGACAAAAAAATGTTTTTTATTTAAACAAAATGGCGCCCTCAATGTCAAAATACACGGGGAGATAATAAGAACGGCGAGTGCATTGTTGTAGAATAATGCACGATTCGGGCCTTCTTTGTTTATATAGAAAAAGTTCCAATAATGTTAGAATTTGAAATACATTGACTGATAAGAATTTGAATTTTGTATTGTATAATATCCAGTTATTTATCCATGCATATTTAAAACGACACAGCTTTTGTTTTTCGTATTATGTACCGTTTACTATTAATCTATCAATTATTTTATGAGGAAGTGTTCTCATCGCTAGATTTAATTATTTAAAATTAAACACTACAGGGACTTGCTTTCCAAAGTAGAAACAATATATTCAAAGCTACAAAAAGCTTGCGACGATTTGATGGGCGATTTTTAGAAGCTACATCAGCCCTGGATGTACAGGAAGTTTCTGATTAAATTGCAAAAAAAATGTTTCTGGTATCTTGTCCTCAATACTAACAGCATTTTCTAGAATTACCATTTTCAGAATAGGATTAAGAATATCTTAAGGTCATGTGGATTTGAGGATCTTATTATTTAATTTGACATGTTGGTACTAATAATTTAATTAGCTCTAGAATTTTTCAATTTAATAGTTTAAATAGTTTGAATACCATGCAAAGAATTTTGTTCTTAAGTTTGTAAATCTTAATGTTATTGTATAATTCATTTTGTAGGAAATAATGTCAAAAGATGTTTTCTGTTGAACAAAGCGTTAAAAGTGTTAAAATCCAATAGTGACCTTTATATAGCACTAACCTTATACCTGAACAAATATTGATTATTTTCAGTAACCAAGGTGGGTCAGTCAAATCAATAAAGGCAGCCTCAAATGGGTAACTATGCTTGAAACATATTATGTTGATCGTTCTAAAGGGAACAAAATGTCATATATTATGTCTGACATTCCATTTGAGTGAAAATATCATAACAATGTCAATTGCAAAATATGGTCTTTGTTAGTCTTTATGAAATAACAACAAATATAAGTAAATATTTTGTCACATGGTACTACAATATATAAAATTAAAAAAACAGACATATTATCGTATGTCAGGCATGTAAAAATATTTCCCAGTTGACATTTACCGTCAATAAAATCTTAACGGTTTAAATCAAACTTTTATTTAATACCACGAGTTTATCTGAAACTTGTAATTATTTTGGTTTGGTATATTTTGAGTGTGATCCGATATGTAATGCAATTACGCTTTCAACGTTGCACCAGACGACACTCGTATACAATACGGAAATATTTCTGTCGAGTTACTGTTACAATAATTTATTGTTAACAAGAAGTGTTTCTGTCATAATTGTGTAGATATTTTATAAGGAGAAACGTGTAACGGTTATCTTACATTGAAAACATTGTACGATTTTAAAAAAAGTTTTGTTTTATGAAGTATTGGTATATAAAATGATCTGATTGACAATTCTTTATTCTCGAGAAAAATTCCGTAAGCTTTAATATGTTTTTCAGGTAATGACCTAACATTTGATAATAGTTACATATATGTTGATGATTTTTTTTCTTTTTAAGAGACGATCAAATAAAAATGTGGCTGAATGAGCTGAAACAGCAAATTGAGAAAGATGAATACAATGACAAGGCATTTGATAAGAAACCTAATGGTTATTCAGAGTCAGCAAATCTTTCTGTCATTTTAAAGGAAATCTGCAGCATCATTCAAAGAAGAAGTACATGCCAAAGGTACAGCTCAATGTTATTAACTATTTCTCAGAAATATCGTGATAAAGTTTGAAATGGCTTGCACTGGTTTATTTGAGACAAAACTCAATGTTGCCTTTTATACTTTTATTATGTTATATCATGTTTGCTTTTGACTCGTGAATTGCTACTCACATTATAATATTATGCACCACTACAATATGATTGTCTCTTGTTGGACAGCGTGGTAGAATAAAGTGAATGTTGAAATGTTGACTCCATTTCTTACAATCTACATTGAGTTGTCCTTCAGGTTGTTCTAAGAGGCAGTGCTAATTGTAAGATATGAGCATGTAAAAATATTTTTTGATATGGAAATTAAATTCACACCTTATGAAATATAACCAATGAACTTGCACTATGTGATCTCCAAATTTATTATTATCATTACTAGATTTAAACAAATTAACCTCGTTTTCTTTCTTTTTTCGAGTCCAAAAAGTCAGTATCAAATCACTGTGTACTTCATTTTGTCTCATTGTTATTTATAAAATCCATAATTTCATACACAATCCTTATTA